ATTAGTTTCATGGTTTGTTACGGATTTATAAATCAATGACTTCCAATACATTTTATTTGGAAAAACACCATCATCTAGAAATTGTATAATGTATTCATAAAGATTATACTTCTTTAGTAATCTGACAATGTCTGGTATATAACCTTTTTGACTATAATTATTAACTGTTTACATAAAATACCTCAAAATGAATACTCTGCAGATTAAGTTACTTCTATTCATTCTGCTGATCCTGTCTAAAAACAAAAGCTTTTTGATATCGATATACCCCTCTATAGAAAACCATCCGATTAAAGAAGTACACATATCAGTTCTTGGTTTTTTTCCGAAACCTTGGATTAACAATAAAATGTTGGACTCTCTCTAACATCAATAACTCAGTATTTGAAAGTACCCAGAGTTCACAACCGTAAAGCGCAGACGGAAAGACTTTAATTTTTACAATTTTAGCAACAGTTAATGGGTTTAGTGCGCATTGATGTGCCCCAGAACGTAATAGGGCCATAGTACCACTTTTTAATTTTTTACACGCTTGTTTTGTTCTTTCAATGGAATTGTGCTTAGCATTCAATAAGATACCTACATGAGTAATTTCTGAAATGACCTGCAATATATTATCATAAAGACGTACAGTACAGTTAATGTTTATGATTCTTTTATTTGAAAATACGACAACTTTACTTTTTGACGCAGAATACAAAAATCGCCACTTCCGACTGTATGACTCACAAATAGTTAACATTTTATTTAGACTTGTAATATTTGTACTAACCAAACATATATCGTCTGCTTGAGTTGGAACATTTACAGTTGTATCGATTATCATTGCGCCCCTACCGCAGTTTTCAACTTCATTCAACAAGTCATAAATAAAAACTAAGTACATTTTGGCTGAGAGAGCCCCGCCTTGTCAGATACCTCGCTCCATCTTTACTGGTGCGGAGGTTAAACCATTAAAAATTATTGAACTGTGTATATCCGTGTACATATAATTTAAAATATTCCACACTTTACCAGTAAGGCCAATATCATACGATTTTACTAGTAGACCGTCATGCCAAATGGTATCAAACACCTTAGCGCTATCTAAAAACGACACATATACATCTGAACCATTTTCCATATTATAATATACACATTCCTGCAAATTAAACGCAGTACAAAGACTACATAGATTCTTCTGATATGCTGACTGTTGCTTGTTTGGGAATATATCAGACTCTATTATATTGTTAATTCTCTTTGCAATAGCCATTTCAAACATTTTAAAAAATACTGGCAAGAGGGTTATTCCCCTATAACCGTTAGGATCATCTTTCGGCTTTCCGTGACCCTTATATAGAGTTACTATAATTCCCTGTTTCCAGTTTCTAGGAAAATATTCTTGTTAAACAACAAGATTGAATAAATTCTGTATATGGTAAATTACAGAGTTTTCTGCATATTTAATATGTTCATATACCAGACCTTCATGTCCGCCTGCTTTATTTGACTTCAGGTTTTTGCCAATTAGATTGATTTCACTAGAAGTAAAAATATCATATAAAAACAAGTCTTCATCAGAATGAATACTAGATTTTAACATTTTGATTCTGTTTTCAATCTCGTCGCGAAAATGACAGTCAAATTCTTTAGCATCGTGTTTTTTTAAATATATTTTGAAAGTGTAGAGACCAACCTTTTATAATATCATGGGGATCTCTGAAAAGTTGCCCTTCATATTTCAGCTCAGTTTGTTTCACCTTCGAGGCTGATTTGTTCCTTTTGAAAAGCTGCCAGAAAAGGTTCTGGTCAAGTTCGCCTGATCTATCAATTTCAGCAAATTGACTTTTTATATAGGATTCAGATGATTTCCTGAGTTGACGTCGAAATTCTTTTTTACAGTTTTTATATTCAGAAAATGTTCGACAATATCGTCTACGCTTTCCGGATTGTATCCACACATATCTCTTCCGTAACATTTCATTATGGAGCGTTGTTAGACTTTCATCCCACTAAGGTTTTTGATAATTTCTATATACATTTTTGGGTATACACTTATCTGCTGCTTCAAGCAGGGCCGAACATATGTCACTATAGTAACAATCTATATCTTGGAAGGATGGATTTCCATTAGGTACTGTGATACAATCCAGTAAACGTTTTACATAACATTTATAGTTACATATTGAACCGTCATTCAACGCCTTTTTTCCACTTATATCTGTTACAATGTGATGTACTATCCGTAAAAGATTTGGGTATACGTACTGAACAAACAATAGGACAGTGTTCTGAAACATTTGCATTGTCGTCTAAAACTTTACAGTACAAGGCAAGATCTGTGGACTTTGACTCAATTAGTATATGATCAATTGCAGTTGAGTTATCCGTTGCGGGGTAAAATGTGCATACAGGACCTATGCATTCAGACTGAACATTTAACGAAATCATGTTAGTTCTATCTAGAAATTGTTGGAATGACCGAGAACGATTGTTTTCTGTAAACTGATAGCGGTTGCCTCGTATTTTTACGTTAAGGTCACCTATTATAAACACTTTACCTTTCTCCGAGTACACATCATATAAAGATTCTAAAATGTCAATATGTTCTTGAAAGACCTCAATAGGCCGTGAAGAAGCAGGCATATATACTGAGAACCAATATGTATATTCTCCACTAGGTGACTGTAATTCAAGCCCGACAATTCTAGGACTGTCTATAATGATTTCTTGTACATTAAGATGCGACTTATATAACAAGCACACACCACCTCTTATACAACATTTGTAGCGGTAGGGGTCTACTTCATGAACAGGTTTTACAATACATTTATAACCAGAATGATTAAAACTATTGAAAAACGACAATTGGTATTCTCTCACCCAATGTTCTGACAATCCACATACATCTATATCGTAAGTGTTGAGACAGTTAAGGAGATAAGGCATCCCGGCCATTACCCCTTCACAACTCCAGCACATGGCATTGACTATGTCACTTTTGGTCATTATGCTCATACCAAAACACCTGTCGTGGCGTCCATGGCCTCGAGTATATACCCGGGGGCTAAAAGTCAGGATTGTCAAGAACGGACGAATCTGCGTCTAGAACATTCAACTGTGCGGATGCCGTGTTCTTGTACCGTTTCTCGAAGTAACGTAGGAATGTTATTTTAACACCGTTGTCTTCTAAGAAGTCTCTCATAGCGCTTTCCGATGCTGTGTATTTATTTATTCCATGTATATAGTACCTTTTTACACGTTTCTGTTTTACAGGCTTAAAACCGACAAATCTGTCGCTCAGTTTTTGTTCCGACTTCTGAATAGGGTGACACACTGATGAGGGACAGTAAACCTTGGTTTGACGAGGATTGGGGTTTGGACTTTCACTTCCAGTTTTATCTGACGTATATGGTTAACATCGCTTAGGCAAACATCAGTTGGTACTGCGATCAGATTTCGACTGAGTTGGTGAGCGGGTTGAGCGACATTTGTTACATCCGTAACCCGTTGACTTGATTCTGTATCTCGAGATACAGGTCGCTGAAATGTAAATGTACCACATCGTGTTGCGCGAGCGTCAACGCGAAACTGATTCTCCGACTCAACCTGGGACCCTAGATCATCACACCTGATCAGTGGAGAAAAGAAGTTAGACGTCTCTATTGAAATTGTGTTACTTTCTCCTTCTATAAGGTCAGATCTTTCATAGTCATTAGGGTTTTTTCCAATACTATTTGTAGGTTTGACTTTCTGTTTACTCTCTTGACCTTTTGCCAATTTAGTTATTTGTTGTTGAATGTTCTGCGAGCGATTGTTTGTTTCCTGCAATACGTCGTCCATCCTTTGTATTTCTTCCTCTAACGATTTCATCTTTTGAGTCACCAGTTTGACAGAATTTTTACAACTTGACACACCATTCAGTTGATTGTTGTCTATTCTATTCGATATCGCTAGGAAATCCGTTATATTTTCAGCCACAGTTTTTACTTCCTTGTTGAAGTTGAACATTTTCTTTTCAGTGTTGGTTTTGAAGGTATTGTTTTTTGACAATTTCTTCGTTAAGTGTGTTCATACGGATACCAAAGTTGTTTTTGTCTTTTGCCCATACATCCTGCTGTTATTTATTTTGGTCATGCGATTCACAAAGTTCTTTCTCCAATTTTGTTACGCGAATTTTGCATGAACTTAGTTCTTCCTGCGTTTTTATTGCACGTGTTTCGCTTTTTCTTTTTCTTTCCCTAATTTCTGTAGCGATGCCTTCAGGAATTTTGTTTCATTTTCGTTTCCTGTGATTTCATGTTTCATTGAGTTCATTGAGTTTAATGCATGTCTATGTTCACATTTCATATCGTTAATGTCCACCTGAACTTTTACAAGTAGTTCTTTTAGAAATTTGAAACCCTCGGAGTCGTTTGCCGAATTGTTGCTTTTGTCCTGGTTAGTATCTGGTTGTTTCCTTAATGGGATTACGTCGCTCAGTTATTCCGTATATTCACCAAAAGTAGCCCTAAACAGAACGAAAATGTCTCTGGCTAGCTTTTGTTGCACGGATTTCGCTGTTGATGTACGGGGTTCGAGGCGTTTACGTAGGTAACCCTCTTTAAGAGGAAAATCGTCTCGTTGCTTGGCGATATTGAACAGTTCGTGTCGTAGCTGTTCAAGATCCGGTGTGCTACGATGTGTCATGTACAAGATATGGTCAATCAAAAGACTTTCTGGTCTATCGCAGCAATTCTCTAGTTCTTTAATGTAAGCCGATACATCGAATTTCTGGGACGGGGGTTCACAGATTGATACCTGGGATACATCAACATTGTCATCACCTGTATCATTTGCGCTATAGCATTCGGACGGTTTATCGGGTAATTGTCCGTTTTGCCACAGACTGTCCATATCCACACTATCTAATCTGACTGGTAACAGTTCTGTGTATTCAGGGGTGGTGACGTATGTTTCAGACATTATGGCAGCAACATAATTAAAAATTATCAACTTTATTGTCTTATTGCCAGTAATAATACAAAACACACATATTTAACTCGAGTCGTTGTTTACTGCATGTATGTTATGTCCATATACAGTTCAATACATGGCCGTGCAATCGCCCGGGACACACCTCCGGTGAATACGCGTACAGGTAAGTCAGGTATCACACAGGTATATGGCAGCTATTTGTAGCCCGATAATAAGAGTTCAACATGTATCGTCAATTGTTATGTGAAAATCTATGAAAATGCAGAAAATCGGACATAAATCGAGGAAATGAGCGTGCGATTAAATACAAACAACCTTTACCGATCGCTGTGCGAGTGTTCATAAGATACTTCGCCATACTTCCTTCTGTATAACAGGAACGTACCTGGAGCTCATACACTAGATGTGAGCACCGCCGCCGCCATCTTATCTTCAAAGAAGAAGTGTCGTTTACGTCAAAGTGTACAGAACATAATAGTTTATAAAAGTGATAGTAAGCTATATATATAGCTACCAGGTCGCTGACTATCGACCCAGGACTGGATTGGACCAATCGCCAGCGACCAGGTACGACAGAGTTCAGAGATCCTGGTTTCAAATCCAGAACTGGTTATGCATTTTGCCTAGTCCGAGTTTCCTCTGGCCCTAACACCAGAGACATTTTGACATATATATAGCTGATGTGGGACCAGAGCGCATGCGCACTGCTCTTTGGAAACGTGGAACATTTATAACTCATCCTTTAATTGACTATAAATATACCTGAAAATGTGTACACATTGTTTTAATTATAAATGTTTTGCTTCAGACAACAGGTACAGACTTACCCAAGTCAAGATGAACTGTGAGAACCTACTATACCTCTGTGCTCTATGTAGTATCTATACTACCAGCATCATACTCGCCAAGCAGGCAGACTACTATGACGTGTTGGGCCTAAAGAAAGGTGCCACAGATAAACAAATCAAGAGAGCATTCAGAAAACTAGCACTTAAGTTTCATCCAGATAAAAACAAGGAGAAAGGAGCAGAAGAGAAGTTTAGGGAAATAGCTAAAGGTTGGTTTACATGCATGGAGACTAAATAATGTTTTGCCTAAATTCTTGCATGTATATATATATATATGTAGCTTCCTACTTCTATGCTGCATGCAGTGCTGTAAGAAAAACCTGCAAGAATACATTTACCTAGTTTTAAGTCTTACCGTCTGTACATGTACCATACGTAATAATATAAGCTGGTAATTTATAAGTCTGTCACTTAGATGTGTCAATAAAAGTAGAAGCTGTTTCTAATATCAAACCATATACATGTAGTTCATTCTCAAAAACATTTCCTTTGATCAGGAATTTTACTTATGTAATACTGTACATATATACCTGGATGATACATTGTGTTGATCTGTTAAAGTCTGTTTTCTTATAATGAAATGTTTACTTCCTCTTCCAAGTGAGTGAGTTTTAAACAGGAAGGACAGGAAGACACTACTTAGTCATGTGTGACTGTAGATAAACAATTGTATTAAATTTTGTTTGAATTGATAACATCCATTGTAGGGCTGTCACAATATATCGGAAAACAGGTATATCGCAATACACGGGTATATCGACCGTATCGTACCACAATACAGAGATGAAATATTGCTGTATCGCAATTTTTCAAAAGCATATTTTTATGTATCTGCTTGGTGTTTTAACATTGCACATTACTACAAATTCTAACAGATATATGCCAACAAGCATAAATCAGGCTTTTAATATCGGGATACGTATTGCAATATATTCATTCTGTATTGCAATATATCGTGAACGCTCTTGGCGTATTGTGACACCCCTGATCCATTTTCTTGCAGCAAAATTTCACTTCCACTTCAGAGGTTTTAAATGGAAGGACAGGAAAGCACTCAATAATTTGTAAATTATTGGTCTATATAAATCTACATAATTTATATTGTCAAATATATTCCAAAATATTTGTTCTGTTTTAAACAAAAACATCATTATGTATTGCAGCATACGAGGTCCTGGGAGACCCAGGTGAAAAGAAGCAGTACGACACGTACATGTTTGACCACACAGATGACCAGCAGTCTGGAGGTGACGGCAGTGGCTTCCCATGGCAAAAGCTATGTCTTATAACATTAAACTATATATTATTAAATGTTTTAGCGAATTTGAAGGCGGGAGTGAAGTGCCATCTCATAGTATTTGTATTGTATTGTATCGCTTTTTCTTTTTTGTAGATTTCTTTATTTCTGGTTTCTGTACAGGACTGTTCTCAGGCATGTTTCCATCTTCATTGTTAACATCAGGTTCAATTTCAATATCTTCCATCATATTTTCTTCATCACCTTCCGCTGTCAAAGATAGATCAAAAAGTTGCATACGTACCATTGAACAGGTATATATCTATCTGTGTATAAGACAGCAACAATCAGTCTGTGAACTCTACTGAAATCCAGATGATTCAAACATTTTAGTATCAGAATAATGAACAGTGAAATAAATAAAAGAATATGAGCAAGAAAAAAAAAATGTTTTTTTTTGTCTGCTTATATTTTCTTTTCTTCTTGTTAGTCAAAATGTACTGTACACGTTGTGTACATTTTCCTGATTTACTTAAGGAATGATTTTTATTTTTTCAACTTTTATGAGGTCATAACAACAATGGGTTTATGGACATATTGGTTAGGGATTCATGTAAAATATGTCCAAAAACCCATTGTTGTATGACCTCATAAATGTTGAAAAAAATATATATCATTCCTTATATTTACAATGACGAATCCTTTCAGCGGATCGATATAACAACGAATAAAACAAATAAACAGGGTTTGTTCCTGGTTATACACGGATGCAACGCAGTGGCGAGAACAGTGTTTTTTCGCGGGTAAATGTGACACTATCATGAGAGATCTTAGCAACCGTCAACAATAATAACACAATAAAATGTAGTTCCATATTCAATGTTTATTTGTAGCACAGGACACGTGAATACGTGNTTAAGGAATGATTTTTATTTTTTCAACATTTATGAGGTCATAACAACAATGGGTTTATGGACATATTGAATGAATCGCGTTAGCGATTCATGTAAAATATGTCCAAAAACCCATTGTTGTTATGACCTCATAAATGTTGAAAAAATAAATATCATTCCTTATATTTACATTGACGAATCCTTTCAGTGGATCGATATAACAACGAATAAAACAAATAAACAGGGTTTGTTCCTGCTTATACACGGGTGCAACGCAGTGGCGAGAACAGTGTTTTTTCGCGGGGAAATGTGACACTATCGTGAGAGATCTTAGCAACCGTCAACAACAATAACACAACAAAATGTAGTTCCATATTCAATGTTTATTTGTAGCACAGGACACGTGAATACGTGGATATTTCACCAAGCACAGTTCAATAATATTTTAAGATGTAAGAATTAAGCATCTAGGTCGGTCGTTCCGAGTGAGTAGTTTTTGTAGTGTATTACTACGCAGTGTGATCAGGTTACTATCAGTTTCCACGTGCTGAGATTCTATGAACACCTGTGTTATGCATTTATGAATGTAATTTTTGTCAATGGGTCTAAGCATACAGAATGTAAATATTTGTACATGTATCCCGATTTTATACATAAATACTAAATGTATCATGAAACGTTCAAAGCATTAAACCATCTGCATCCCAGAGTATAATCCTACAAATCATACGACTGATTATGATGTATCAGTGGCCATTTAGATACAGAAAATTTTATCGTTTCTTGTGGAAATTTGAAATACAACGTAGGGATATCAGTTTTCAAAAGTATGATGATGAAAGCATGGACACAAAACAAAGCATTTATGATAATGTATTGCTCAGGTAGACAAAAAACGAATACGTCTCTCGGTAGACCTATTGCTTTAAACAATACGTCTGTTATGGTCTGTGTTATCACTTGTAATTTCAATGACGTTATTATTTTGATATTTTCATTTTTCTCAAATTGAAAATTGTTTCCATGTAATAAACATGTGCTAGGTTATTTGTCCTTAGCTTCAATATAGCATTAGTTGATACTGATAAGTCCATATATATATATTTCTCCCACACCTGACAGATTTATCTCCCGTTTTGCCGGTGCTAGATTTATCTGTATCCGCCCTAGGGTTGAGACGGGGGGATTCCCCTATTTATAACAATGGTATGACGTCACTGCAACAATACAATGACGTCACGTCAACAATCCATCAACGTCACGTCAACCCTAAATTTAGCATGTAACGTTATCATTACATTGTGTATATGATACACATTGGGGAAAACAGGGTACATGTAAGAGAAAAAGAATCATTCACCCCCTTGTGGGTAAGATAGGGGAATCTCAACCATCGGGGAAAGATTCTTAAGTTGCCAAACACTCGGCAAAGCCTCGTGTTTGGTAACATAAGAATCTTCCCCCTCGGGCTGAGATTCCCCTATCTCACCCCAAAGGGGGTGAATGATTCTATTAATATACCAGGCATACGTATTTTGCATTGAAATATGCCGAATTGACGTTCACAATTAACATGTTGTGACGCGACTGTGACGTCACCGTTAACACGCGTCATCATATAGTGTTGACATTACATTCACTGAAGCCAACTCGAATATTCTGCAGCTATACCACATTATTTAGAATATTTTGATTTAGTCTTTATTCTTATTCCTACAGTTCAGTGCACATTTTTTTCCCGCTATCACCGAAACGGGGAATATTAATTTGGGTTTGTCCGTTTATCTGTCTGTCTTTCTATCTGTCTGTCTGCCACGCCCGTTTCCGTGCAATACCTACAACAAATATTAATCAATTTTCTTCAAACTTGGTCACAGGGTTAAATGTCTTAAGGGCTCGGCCAAATTCGATGACCACTTTCAGCAGACCCCATTTGGTGGAGCTATGGCCCCTTGAATAATGAAAAACGTCATTATCTGCCGCGCTTCGTTTCCGTGCAATAACTACAACAAATGTTAACCGATTTTCTTTAAACTTTGCGACAGGGTTAAATGCGCTTAAGGGTTCGGCCTAGTTTGATGACCACTTTCAGCGAACCCCATTTGGCAGAGTTATGGCCCCTTGAATAACGAAAAAACATCATTATCTGCCGTTTTTGTTCATTAACTCTCGCAAATATTATCCGATTGTCTACAAATTAACAGGATTTAGCGCATTAAGGGCTCGGGCAAGATTGACAACCACTTTAATCGGACATCATTTGGCAGAGTTATGGTCCCTTAATTAACGAAAAACGTCATTATTTGCAGTTTCCGCTTAATAACTCGAGCAAATATTAGCCAAATTCCTTCAAACTTGATAACAATGTTTGTGTTCCTCTGTCTTGCCACCCATCTCAGGCACTCTTTGGTTTTCGTGTGATAATTGCTGTAGATATTGTTCAGATGTTTCAACCAAATTCCGTATGCACATCCGACTCATGCTAAGTTTGCCAACCGATGTGATTTGCGCATATTTACGGATAATCAATGAGGTATAGGGCTTTTTTTCTTCAAGTTTCAAGCTATACATTATGTCTCAACAGCACGATTCGCACATGTTTAAACCTAACCTCAATAATGTTAACCTACAATTTGTCCTGCAAGCGCGGGGGATATAAATTCCACGAATTTGCTTGTTTTTATTTGAAACTACATTGTAGGTATGACACATAATGGATATCTTTGATACAGTGTACGTATTTCTTGCATTTATGTTACTTTTAAAAAGTTTTTCTGAAGTCATTTTAATACCAGTTCAAAAACAAAGAAATTTTCTTTCTGAATTTTCCAACAAACACAAAGAGATTTTTTTTTCTCTCCTGAATTTTCATATTGTCATAGTTTTCCGTTACCTGATTTTTTAAGATCATGATTTATTTTTTGAATACGCATTTTGCTGTGCCAACTGCTTCTTCACCTTACCAACTTATTTTAGAGAAAAAATATGCAGTAAATTCTCTTACAGTAATTGGTGTGTATATATGTTTTTGTAATATGATCACTATTAGCATCAGAATAATTGGATGAAAAACAGTGGAAATGCGGCTTTTAATAAACAGTAAAGTAAAATAATCTATAGGAGGATATTTTAGCTTATAACTAGCATGTGCAAGTATAAATACATGTAGTTTCAAGAGGAACACTTAATTAAGGCCTAGTGCAAAATTCATTTTTTTTATAAATGTTTTCATTATTGGATATTCGACTGTTCCTCAAGACTTAACAATTCCGTGTCTTTGAATATTCTTTGTCTTTTAAAACTGGAGAAAAGGCAGAATCTCTTCAATATGTACTGCGTAATGTAATCATTAACCTAATTGTACATGTATATTTCACTGTTAAAAGTTAAGCATCGAATCTGGAGTAAGACCTTTGATTCTTTTAAATGCATGTATTAACACAAACTTTAGCCTAAAACATTGTGTAAATCGACTTTTTCATTTGTGTTCCTATGTTCATATCAGTACTTTACTGAAGAAAACAAACAAATAATGCTAAAAAATATGTTGACTCCATACAGCCACTGATTTGAACCCTTCCTCTGATTTCTTGATGCAATCCAGCAGATCGATAAAAATGTTTTTGACATTGCTATTAACAAGTGTTGCTAGATCGATTAAAACTCTGAGATGTCCATCATGCATGATCTGAAATTATTCAAAAGCCATTCATTGTGTTGTCCAGTTCAAATAAGAAAACAAAGAGATCAGCTATATGGGCCTTGTAATCCTCTGCTGACTGTCTTCATTAAAAGTGTTACGACTGCCCGGCAAGTGACGTCAAGATCACTTTTTAACAGAATGATTTACAAATAAGAATATTTCAATAAAACAAGGAATGTCCCTTTAAAAATGGAATGGAGTATTAACAGATATGAAAAAAATAAAGAAATCAGTTTGTTTAGAGTTTTGAGTCATTGCAACAGCTAAGAATAGAAAGCCGAAAGAAAAAATAGACAAAAGTACAAAATATCCCAATATGGACGGCAGATCGATTTTTTAATATTTATATATCCCTATGCATATGATATCTAGATGAGCGATTTAATATCGCCAATAACTGATTTGCAAGTAATTCTGAGGTGCTTTGAAAACAACGAACAAGTGCTGATCAATTGCGGCAGGGTTCAATATGGGGTTAGGGCAACTAAGGGGAGACCGGGACAAGTTCGACCCTGGGGTTACTCCGGCCACTCCTGATATTTTTAGTCACGAGCAAATATTTACAATTTTGAGGATCTTAGCAATGCAGTTCACTGGGCAGGTCATTCATACGAAAAAAATGACATGAAAACTATAATTTCAGATTACTTAAAGCGAGAAAATTATGTTTTGGGAGGCTAGAAAGAATTTCATGACCTCACTTCCTTTAGTTTTGCAAACTTTCTGTAAACCGAAATGCTACTTATTGATGTCATACGTGTAAAAACCCGACAGCTTCACATGATGGTATACATAAAGCCCTAGCATTGAGTCTCGTATTGCTATGATATGCAGATTTCTTAAAATATCAATTTGGGCGGTAAAATATGACGTTGCATGCTTTATGACGTCATAAGTATGCTAATTCTAATGTGAGCCGAACTTACCCCAGACGCCCTGTCCGAACTTACCCCAAGGCGGTGCACATTAGGCCATACACTCTTCTTAAATAACTCTTCCTGTAGTTTTATGACGGAAATGGAATTTCTCTTCCAAATGGTGTAAATACACATGAATTTTAAAAAATTCTCTCCAGAACGACTTAAATGAAAATGGGCCAAACTTGCCCCTGTCTACCTGATATTTTGAAAGAAATTCCACAGGCTGGGGAGGGATGAGGAATCCTTAGCTCATCCCGGCCACCACTTTTGCGATTAATTTTGAAATTGTGTTCAGACAATTGATATCAATTTAAAGAGTAAAAATTACTTGTCATTGAACAGAAACCATTTCAATATTATACAACCTATGCGAATTCATTTGAGCTGAAACCGTTGAAATACTGTCGTTCTTTAATTGTTTCATACAAATGCATGTTTATTAGTTGTTTATTCTGCGGGCACCACTATTTCTTCTAATTTTAAATTCTAGTTAACGTAACTAATAAAAAGGGTATAAACTGCATTATTCCTAAACTGGTCTCTCAAAAAAATAAAGCATAAGAGTGATATAACCCAGAGACATATAAAGTCTCTGTATGACCTAAACAAACGCGCCTATGGTCCATTCCGGATTTGGTAATAGCCCCTAACTTTAGCATAAACGTAAATTGGCATACCACTTATGCGTTTCAATCGATTGGAGTCACGTGTGGAGCGTCTGAAATACATTGATGCGGCAAAATGGCAGACAAGGAATCGTCAGACACGTCATTTTCTTCATCGCAAGCTTCAAACCCACTGTCAAGGAAGCTTAACAAAATATTGGAGACACGGCTTGACAATGACAAAGTAATTAAGATGTTGCGTACTGATAGATAGAATATGTATTCTGAACGCATCCGGATGCATCCTCGAACTAACAACTCCATCTCACAAGTCAGCTGTTTACAATTTGATAAACCATATTCACATGCACAACGCAGTCAAAAATAAAATATCAAAATTAAGTAAGATAATCTGTTTTTAGAATGTACTCATCTGCATTTATTTTATCTAATGCATATGATTGCTTTGAAATCAATTTATCAAGGGGGATATGTATATGTGGTACAGTTTCTCAAATTGTAGAACATTAACCTGGATCTGTACGGTTTGGTATTGACTATTGTTTAACGTCCTATCAACAGCTATGTTCATTTAAAAACGGCCTCCCCTGTGTGCAAGATGCATGCATGTGTGTTTTAGGAGGCTGCAATATATTCGTCTCCTTAATTGTGATAGGGCAGAACTGATACCGACTTTATAGCGCTACCTCACTGAAACATACTGTCGAAGACACCCAGCAGGACACCCCACCCGTTCACATTATACTGACAACGGGCGAACCAGTTGTCCCACTCCTAAATTGCTGAGCATTAAGCAGGAGTAGAAGCTACAATTTTTATTAAAGGCTTTGGGTATGTCTTGGCCAGGGGACAGAACCCAAACTCTTCCTCACAGGGGCAAACGCTCAAAAGTGAGGCATTGTCAAGGGAGACAAAAGGAAGAAGAAAGTTGTTTAGAAAAAGGAGAAAAGATAAGATCCCAAATTTAGTCGCCTCTTATGATCAATTTTGCCATGGGGGAAGCAGGGTTAGACAACCAAAAAAATCACCCCTCAGGTAGGAGATATCTCTGTCACACCCTCAAGGTAGGGGATGATTATTTATCTCCCATCCAATCATTTCAGTCACAACTCCACCGACAATATGTTTGTCAACAAAACATCTGTGGGGTATGAATATCGTCAATCACTTTAGATGACGTCACAATTACACCGGTGACGCATTTAAGGACGTCACAATTGAACACGTGCTATTCAGCACAAGGCTACCTGCCCCTAGCGGGTGACAAGCTGATCTCTTCTGGCTAAAACACTGTATTGTACATTGTATTATGGAAAACTAGTGGAATTCTCTATGATTTGCATGCAGTGGGACAGGGATCTTTAAGTGTGTTGATTTGCAGTACTGTTCATAGTATTCGTTAACTTGTCTTTCAGGAGATGCTTGAAGCACTGAAGGCTTTGTCAGTCTTCTTCAGTGAAAACAGTCTGCGAACAAGAAGAAATCTGAGAAGTGACATTGAACGCAGAAGTTTAGTCATCAACGAAGATTTCTTACAAGTATTCCAATCTGTGAAAGAGGTAGTTACATCAATGATAGATTTCAATTAATCATAACAGCATTAATTAATAATCTGTGAAAGTTGCATAAATTTATTAAACCAAAGTTAAAGGTCATTCACATTATGGTATCTTCAAATACAATGTATTTGTGTCCTTTATATTTTCTTTTGAAAAAATACAATGTACATGTTAACTTTGAATTCCAATTGCAAGAATATGTTCATTTAATTAATTTTTAGGCAATATTGAATCTATTACTTGGCTTTGGGTATATATATATATATGAAAACATAGAAAATCAAAAGCATTTTGAAAGATATTTTGGGGAAGTTAACTTGTCAATACATCCATATTGTATTTTCATAAAGACTTCAATTTACAAAAAGTTATTTAAATAAACAAAAATTGCCTTGTTTCTAAACATGCCCAGCTGCCAACATTTCAACATTTTTGTAGGGAAAAAAGTAAAAAAAGTATGTGTTGAAATCTAAAGATGTTTGCAATGTTGTTGAAAGGACATTTGAAATAGCAACGCGTACTACCATTTTAATTTTCATCTTTTCAGCAACTTGACAGTGTGTACAATGATGTTAAGTCTATGAACGAATGTTGTCAGGACATGACCAGTAGGCTGAAGGTAGGTCAGCTATTGTATCTAACGGCTTTACTAGCAGAAGCAGGCTTAAGCTATGTGAAAATGTTGTAAGAACATTACTAGCAGGTAAGTCAGAATGTTGTGAGGACATGCCTAGTAGTAGCAGTGAAAATCATCAGAATGTTTCTACTGCAAGTATCTGACAAAAATGTATTTCAGGCCAGCTATCTGAATTTTATACAATACATCTCTAGCACCTACGTATACACAGGCATACACAGATAGGGAGATATAAGCCAGGTGGCATAGGACTAGTAGTTAGCGCCTGATAAGGCAGTTTCTGCGTATTCCTCAAAAATTGTATTGATTGATGTACAAAAATGTATATGCTAATTGTATTGATTGTATAAATTGTTTATCTATGTACTGTAAAGTGCTTTAGAGTGGCTTATTCTAGCTAGATAACTAAGGTGCTATATCAAATGTTGTATATTATTATTATTTTAGATTTTACTTTTGTTAATACCAGTTACAAACAAGGCCAATTTTATCTATAAAAAAATACTTAGGTATAGTTCTTTGTTTTTTATGTTTCTTTCGCTGTTCATTAACAAATGCATCACACCGAAACATTTGTGGAATGGTTAACCTTCGATGGTAGGCTGTTTGTTTATGTTTTCTATCTTTTTCAGTACAAGGAGTGTACTGATGCACCAATCATTTTGAACTTTCAGTTTTAAAAATTATGTGAAAACTTGAATGCAGCATACAAATTATGTTGAAATGAAAACATATGGATTATTAATTTAAGTTTGTCGATATGAATTTAATGATAAATTCATATCTTATAGAAAAAGCTAATTTTAAGAAATCTCAGAACTGACTTGAGGAATGTTCCTAGATACACCTTACTGCAAAAATGGTGAGGCTATGAAGGCAACTTATCGTACTCTATTAACAGTTTTAAAAGGTATGAATAAAAGTCACGATCTGTCGTTTTCATTCATTTCAGGCAGCAAAAGAACAGACGCATGACTTAATTAACCAGACAACAAAGTTACAGTCGGAGAGGTTAGTATACTTTGTGCATGTTCCCAGAAAACATACCTCATACTTCATGCTTGGCAAATTATGTTTTGATAGGGACAAGGTTAGGGTTTTACAGCAGACTTGTATCTGTAGATTGTGTATAAGTATATCAGCATGTAGTTGATGTGATGCAATCAAAGGTAGATTTGAATAAGTCCAATATTTTCCATAAAATTTGTAGCCAAACCCTGCAAGTGAAAGCCCAGGTGGCAGATGCGTTTCTGGAGAAATTTCAGCTGAAGCCAGAAGAGGCCACAGCTTTGAGAGGGAGTCGGGATGGAACACTTCACATGGTGGGTCTGTCAGTTATTTTAAGTAAATTCAGAATCAAAATCTGACTTTTAGTAGGTTTGTTGAATCAAAGTCAATTTCATTGCAATATCTAACAAAACATGGTGAGGCAGTCAGCTGTTTTTAAGTAGATTAAAAAGCAAAGTGTTTCATTTATTATAGACACAATTTTTAAAGTCTTTATATTCTTTGTTTCATTAATTTTAACCTTCTTTTATCAACCCATGTACTTTGTGTTGAAAACATACCAGGTATATATTTGTCTTTTTAACTTGTCAAATACATAAAATAATGTGTATCTTTGAAAAATTGTTTTGATGAATTGTTTATTTTCACAGGACTTCTTCAGGGCATTGGGTAAAGCAAAAGAAATTCACAAACATTGCAAGATATTACTGCGAACAAACCAACAGACGGCTGGGTAATTGATCGTTATTATACTATTAGCCACTGGAAGATTTTGAAAATTCTACTTGCCTGACTTTTGTTTTCATATAAATTGTAGTAGAAATAATAAGATACTAATCAAGCCCTGGCCATTGGATTAATAGAACTGTGCACCAATGCTATACTTTCACTTTTTTTCTTGTATAAGAAGGATGACACATTTCAAAGGTATATAAAAAATTGACAAAGTTAAACAGACAAAAAGTTAAATACAACAGTTTATCTAATACAGGTAAATAATGTTTTGACAGACATAAACTTTAAAATGTTCTTGTCATAAAAATAAAAATGTTTAGAGTAACTAAGTATTCTATAATGATTGACAGATTTTCATAATTATCAATCATTGCACAGTGTCACATATATATAGGGAAAAGTGCAACTTTGTTGGGTAAGCATCTGAAACTTTATTCAGTTTTTTGAGAATTTGTGAAAAATCATGTTCATACAAACTTTTGTATTGTAGACTGGAAATCATGTTCATACAAACTTTTGTAATGTAGACTGGAAATCATGTTCATACAAACTTTTGTATTGTAGACTGGAAATAATGGAAACTATGGCTCTCCATCAGGAATCAGCCTATGAACGACTGTACAGATGGGCCCAAAGTAAGTGTGTAAATGTGTACACAGTATACTAAAAGTGACACATTTAACATTCTTCTTATGAGAGTTTTTTTCAAACCGTGTGATTCCGGAAGACTTTCAGAATAACTTCTAACTTTTTCCTTCCATCGCTTGAAGACGTCTTCCAATATAATCGACTATTTAAAAAACGCAGACTGCAGTGTTTATTGCTAGGCAACAGTTCACCCCCCACACCCCGGTTAAGGCTCTGTAGTGATTACAAGAACGATTACATTAAATACCTTGTACATAGTTAAGGCTCGTTGTAATTATAAGAACCATTACATTAAATACCTTGTACACAGTTAAGGCTCTGTAGTAATTATAAGAACCATTACATTAAATACCTTGTACACAGTTAAGGCTCTGTAGTGATAACAAGAACCATTACATTAAATACCTTGTAAACAGTTAAGGCTCTGTAGTAATTACAAGAACCATTACATTAAATACCTTGTAAACAGTTAAGGCTCTGTAATAATTACAAGAACCATTACATTAAATACCTTATACACAGTTAGGCTCTGTTGTAATTACAAGAACCATTACATCAAATACTTTACTAGAACCATTACATTAAATACCTTGTACAAAGTTACAGTTATTGTTGTACAGTGATTTAAAGGCTCTATGAACCAGGCATATTTCTCGCTTTATTAGAATGTGTTTCCTTATACAGATGAATGCCGAATGCTGACTGGAGATTCCCCAGATGTGTCGTCCATGTTGTGTCAGGCCATGGAAGCTCTAGAAGACAGACCTGTACTCTTCAGGTTAGAGCACATGTTATTTGTATGAGACGTCTTGATTTCAATCCTCCAGTTAAATTTAATATTAGTTTTATAACTTTTAAATAGTAAAATATTGCCAAAATCAGCAGATCTTTTGTTTCGTACCAGTTAAGACATGAATGAGGTATAATTTATTTACCTGAAATGTTTTTGTGTAAACTGCATGCTGACCTTCTGTTGTATTCATGTAGGTATACCTTGGACGAGTTTGGTACTGCCAGGAGGACCGCTGTTGTTCGTGGACTCATCGATGCATTGACCAGGGGAGGTAATGCATGGAGGCCCTATGGGATTAATTAGCATAAAGTTGATTCATATCATTCAGCCTTCCAGATATAAACAAGCTTACTGAAACATACAACTACGTACTGAATAAGTGCCCTTCCTGTATGTAAATATTAATGAACTTGTAAGTCACTCTTTTCCCTATAGGAACATCTGTGTATGTAAATATCTTTTATGAAAGGTGGTTTGGACAGTGCATACAAGAATTTATGCATTGTATAACACTATTTCTTCATGGTATATACAAAATAATGTAGATTCCATAGTACTGTAAAATCCATATACCTGAAATGTGTGTATAGGACTTGTAATTAGTGGTGTTCCGATTAATCGACTAAGTCGAGCATCAGTCAGTTAGGCTAACAAACTGATTAATCGAATACAAAATCCATGAGCGATTTTAGTTGGAGTGCTACTGTGTAGATATTATCGAGTTTTCAGTAGACATTTTTCCCAGCTACTATGTAAAATTGATGGCATCATCACTGCATGACTTACTTTTAGCTCATAGCTGCTAGTTAGGACTATATATTACAGATTCAGTGTTTGAAGAGAGGTATTCCTTATATTATAATTAATTTATTACATGGTATCACTTTTTTACCTAATTGACTCGCAACAACAGCATGGAGGATGTCACTCTGTATTTCTATAGAACGATTATTAATCGATCATTGGTTGGTTAATGGTAACCAATGATCGATCATAAAATTTCAACCGATTCCCAACACTACTTGTAACATTAAATTATCATTTAACTGAAAAATGGACAAATATACTATTTGCACACAAAAAAATATATAGTGTGTGAAATCATCACCAATAAAACACAAAACATGCAGCGAGTACTCATGCTTGTCTTTGCCAGGTCCTGGAGGAACACCCCGTCCCATAGAGCTCCACTCACATGACCCCACTAGGTATGTGGGGGACATGTTGGCATGGTTACATCAAGCAGCAGCATCAGAGAAGGAACAACTCCAGTCCTTGCTAAAGAAATGTCGTTGTTAGTATCAGTTTACATAGATATCACATTAGGCCTTTCACCTCCTTCATTATCTATGGCAGAATTTGTCATAACTTAGATCAGGGGATATCAACAATTTGTTTCTTATAATCAAGATTGTTGTTTTTTTGTTTTTTTTAAATGACGGATAAGCGAGTGAGGAGTGGGGTGGGGTATTTCCAGAAATATGAGCATCATTCAGCCACTGAAAACCAGGAAGTGAAACAATGTTATATGTTAGAAAGACTCAGTAGAGTTCTAAATTTAAGTCCTATACAAAAAAAATTTGAAATAACTTGTATATTTCGAGTGAAGTACACAGTGTCAGTGTCACACTATATGCATGTTTTATAGAAAAGATGAAGCAAAAACATGTAGATTCAATAGCTATTTGTAGTTTACATGTTTAAGCTATTCAATAGTTCTTTGTCTGTGTCAATCACATTTGTTGTATCAAACTGTTTAAAACACAAATTGCAGTAAATCATTCATAATTTGATAAGTGATGTAAGCATAGGTCAGAAAAAAACTTAAGACTGTTTAATGATTTATTTTCTATATACAAGGGAAAATACTCCAAATTAGAAAAAGAAATAGCATAAGCTCAGAGTAACGCCAGCTAAATTGGTTCTTTTTTACAGCCGCTTGGCCTTTCTACAAATATTTCAGTATACATGCACAACCAAAACACTTTCTTGTTAATGAAGTATTATACAATATTAATTGTTATGATATAAAATGTCCATTTTTTCAGCCAATGGAGAACAGATACAGGACATTCTTGGCCATATCACAGAAGGGGTGTGTCGACCATTCAAGGTAACTGAATAGTCAAGATCAATATTGTAGAAGTTCTGTTGGACTTGTCTAAGTTCAGGTTATTGATTGATGCTGCTCAATACATATTTCTGCAATACATCAAAGGCCAAATCACTTTTGTGCTTGTTAAGATTTGTAACTGATAAATTAATATTGCTGACCATCATTTTGATAGATCTTCCTAGATGTGTCAGAATTATGACATGGAATGTTTTATACTACAAAACCTTTATCACTGACGGTAGGGTACAGCAGTGAGCCAAACACTTATCCAGTCTGCAACTTTTGATGTGATAAAAAAATAATGTGTTAATGTGTCAAAGTCACATGAATTTTCTTTTCGTTGATGCAGTTTGTCACACATATCACATTATAACTTCAAGGTCAAAAACTCAGTTTGGGGTACAGATTTGTGGGGTCCTGTTCCTTACTTTGTTGTTAATAGTTTAAGCATAAAATCTTCCCATTATTAGCTCACCTAGCTCAGAGGATTTTGACCAAATTTGTTCTGGAGCATCATTGGCCAAAGGGTTCTCAGTTTTGTATAAACGGAGGGTATGGTCCCCCTTGTGGGAGAGAGGCGGGGCCAAATAGGGGGAAAATAGGTAAATCTTTAAAAATCTTCTTCTTCTCAACCAATAGAAGGATTTTGACCAAATTTTTTCTAGAGCATCTTTGGACAAAATAGCCTCTAGTTTGTATAAACAGAGGGTGTGGCCCCACTGGGGGCATAGGGACAGGACCAATAGAGGAAATAGAGGATTTTTTTTCTCCTACTATACAAGTGAAGGGTTATAAACCAAATGCAGTCTGAAGCATGCTTAGGGACTAAAAAAAGAATAAACTGTGTATAAACTGAGGTGGGTGGACCCCCTTCTTTGGGGCAGATTGATGGGTCCCATTAGGGGAAATAGAGAAAAACATTAAAGCTCTTTCTCCTTTTGTACCGTGCTTAGGGGAAAAAAATCAATTTGTTTAATTTGTATAAAAAGGTGCATGTGAGGACCAATAGGGGAAATAGAGGAAAGACATAACATGGAATCTCATTTTCTTGGTGTCTTTCCCACCAAAACAGAATTATATGTAGTTCTTCTTGCAACTTTGTTTCTTGTACTCCTTTGATAAACCTGTATGGTACTCAGCAGGTTTTAAATTGAAAAATAAAATACCAAGTGAGCTATTAAGGCCCCTGGGCCTCTTGTATATCATGGCTGCTCAGACATCAAAAATGGATTGTGTTGAGATGCGTTGAGTTACCTCCCCTTTGAACATTACAGGTGAGGGTGGAGCAGGTGTTGGTGTCAGAACAGGATGCTGTCACTCTCTACAAACTGCACAACCTCCTCAAGTTCTACCATAACACCATCTGGTAAGTTCTACCATAACACCATCTGGTAAGTTTTCCCTCAACACTATTGGATGAGTTTTACTACGCTATCATTACAATAGTCGATATATAGAAATGATATCCTCTGAATCACAAATTCAAGCCATCATAAATTGAACTTACAGGTATAATTTACAAAGTTAAGTACACACAAAAACAAAGTGATATACAGTATTATATTTTGTCCATCATAGAATCTTCGTGGTTTGTTACCAGAATAAACGATGAGATCCTTGTAGGACAAAGAGCTGTAGGTCTGCTAGGTCGCATTCCCGTACCCCAGTTGAAACCTTTCAGGTGGCATAGAAATATTCCACGATCGATAAACGAATGCACTTGGACTGAGCCATAGACAGAGCTAAGAATAATATGTCATTCTGTCACGCGTCCACTAAATTAAATAACATCTTCAAATCTGCATCTGGATTGACATTGTTTTATAAAGAAATGATGCAAACTAGCAATATTCAGCATCATAGTTTCGGTCAGACACGTTTGGACCCTTTAATCTACACGTGCCGAATATTCCTGAGGTCAGTCTTGGTTCAGAGCCTCAGTTCAGATCTGTGCTTGTCATTTTCTTTCAGGTTCAACCGTTTCAACTGGTTGGACCGGATTAGCAAAAGGGGCACATGTCTCCATGCTTGTCAAAGACAAGTAGAGATTGGAATAAGAGTGAAAAATGATCAATACAGAAAATGCTTTCTTCACAAGTGATGAAAAGGTTTGGGCAAAGTATGAAAACAGATTTCTCTAATTTTGGCAGCCAGATTATTTTTTATTAAGCTTTGATTAAGGTTTCTAAATTGCATTCTTCTATTTCCAGTCAGATCATCTGTAAGGATGCAGCCCTGTTGAATACTGTAGCTGAGATCCAGGACCTTAGCCATAGAATGTTCTTCAATAGCCTCAACTGTAATGCCAACAAACTCCTTGACAAGGTTAATGTTTGATTATTGTATAGATACTATATCACACAGGGTTTATATTCTGTACATGATGTTATACAGTATTTCTACAACTTAAGAAATGAAAAATAAAGTTAAAGATTCTTATTGTAATTTGTATTCTTTAATGAGATGTCACATATTGTGGTATCAAAACAAAAAGAAAACTTGAAGAAAAAAGAGTGCAAAATGTGCTTTGTCAATTCCACATGTTAAGAAACATCAAAACATCATATATGTAATGATGACTTTTAACGATCACTATTGGTTCTTCTCTGATCTCCAGTCGATGAACTGTAACATCCCAATCTTGGCTTATGCGTCAATTAAGATTTGTTACAGCAAAATCACCCCTCGATCCAGATAAATTGGTATCAATTCTGAATAGGTTATGGTCATATTAATAGGGTATTATAGTTATAACCCGTATTTTAATTATTACCTAACAGTAAACATCCTGTTTTTCGTTGTTTGTTTTAAAGTTAAGAATTAAAAAATTAGAATCCTTGTGAAAATCAAAATTGAAGGTAAACTATATTGAAATTGTTTTAATACCAGCTGGTATGATGATTTTCACAAATGTTTTGTTTTCAGGTGGAGTTACCTCCCTCAGATCTTGGTCCTACAAACTCTTTGAATCAGACGCTGCAGCTGCTGAAAGACGTACTGGCTTGTCATGATGCTTCTGTAGTGGCTATAGATGACAAAAAACAAGACTACAAACAGGTGTCTGTTCTGTGATTCAAATGTGACACTCAGATTTGTTCTGTATTGTTTTACAAGCCTGTTATATCTGGCAGAAAGACTTCATGATACAATTAACATACTGCAGGAAAAACAGAATTGGATTAAAAGCTCCATATTATCTTTCAACTTTCTTTAATTAGAATTTATTTGAAGTTTTAAAGATATAATTAAAAAATGGACTCAATTATTTTATATAAAAAAGTACGTCCCTTCAGGGGAAAGGTTTTAGTGTTGAAGTTGACAAATTAATTGACCCCATTTCGAGATGAAATGACAAGACGACAAGCCTTTAAATCAAAGGCTAATGAAGGGAGATAACTCAGGAAATACAAAAGACACGAGATGGTTGTAGGTCCTGTGGGCTTTGAAAGTATATAAAGACATAACATTAAAATATTATAAAATTATTTCATCTGAAATTTGTATTCAATGCTTTAGGATATTGCTTGGATTTTGGCATAATTTGAAGAATCGTTTTTGCCATTTTCAGCATATTCACTAAGTGACTTTACAATACTCCCCTGATCAAGAAAGGTCCATGTCATACATCAAGTAAAGCTAACTAATATACATATTATTCTGTTGTTAGATCCTGTCTTGTGTGATTGACCCTCTGGTACAGATGTGCTCTGTGTCTGCGAGTCGGCTCAACTCGACAGATATGGCCGCCTACATGGCCAACTGTATATATCTGATGCAGACAACGCTGGCCATGTACGAGTTTACAGACACTCGACTCGAGATGCTGCAGGCTCAGGTTTGTTATTACTGTAAATCAGTCTGTTATTACTACATTTACACAATTGCTCTTTATGTCACTATATATTGTATACCTTTTTAGCTCACCTGTCTAAAGAACAGTGCTTATGTTATACCCCCATTGTAAGTGTGGGTGTGCAATTACCAGGTAAATACCTGTAATTAATGGGGGGGGGGGGGGGGGGGGGGGGGTTGTGCATTAAAATCTGTAGATTATCAGTTGATGGTTAAACTGTAAACATGTGCCAGTTAATTATAAGAGTCTTCCTATGGAGTACTGTTTTGTTCATCAAACAAGCTATTTGTTCATGTGATAATGAGGTTATTTTGTTAACGATTAGGTGGATGCCCAGATAGATACCCTGGTGAGTGAACAGGCCTCATTTGTACTCAATAAGGTCGGCCTGGCCTTTGTGTATGGGACAGTCCAACAGCATCAACCCAAACAGGTAATAAGAAGCTTTTAATGCAAAAACATTGTCATAGATATTTAAGTATTCTGTTGTCTCGTTTTAGATTTGTCAGAATTGTCTTTTGGGTGAATATCTGTGACTGCTGTTAATTGCAAAAAAGCTGCATGCATCTCAATAGAACAAATGTCTGTGATTTATTCAGATAAACATATGTTAGCTTAATGCATATAGTTAATATATACGGAGAAATGTTTGCTACAGTTAATATTATTTTGTCCTCTATAACAAAGACAAATTGATCATGACGATAAATATCAGTTCATAATTAAATATACATACCTGGCAGTATTCCCACTATCTGAGGAAAAAGTAACGATGGACAAATATGTAATTTACCAACTGGAGATGAATTCTTGGTATACAGCGAATGTCATGAAGCATTTCTTTAAACAAATTTTCAAAAATTGAAATAACCTTTTATTTATAAAGTTTATCAGGAACTTTTCTCCTCCCTGCTGTGGCATTATTTTTGCATCATGAAAAGCAGAATAGGACCCAGGGGCATGGTACAGATCCCCACCCAATAAGTCTGTATAATGTATCATGCATTGATATAGAGTAATACATATATAAGACTGTGGGATGGGGATCCGTGCCACAACCCTGTGGAATAAGCCTGGGACATCCAATAGCAGATCACCACATTGATCCGTGCCACACCCCTGTGGAATAGGCCTGGGGCATCCAATTGCAGATCACCACATTGATCACCGCATTGATCGCTACCGTTGGGAACCTATTTTATATAAACTTCTTTTTATTTTACTACGTTTACAGTTATAACTTTACGTACATTGTATGTTGATTATAAGTTGTTGTGTTTGTGTTTAAAACCATCTGTCAATTAAACTATTACAGGGTCCTTTATCAGCCCTACCGGATATGGGTGGACCAGTTCTCAAATCTGCAATGGTAAGATATAGTTTTAAAGGCCTGATAATATCAACACTTGTTGTATACAATTTAGTCTTGTTGAAAAATTTGTTAAGAAATATTTTATAAAATGTGAGGGAATGATTGATATGAATTGCAAATGTAAATTCACTTAAATTGACTGACACCTACTTTTACTGACACCTGAAGTAATATGAGTAACATGAGTAAATGACCACAATACTTTTTCACCTTCTTTAACACCTGTTCATAACTGACCAAATTATTCAGTCCATTAGGCTTAATTGTAATCAGTTGATTAAAAGAAACCATCCTGGAAAGTAATTAAAAGTTTTATTTTAGAGGAATAAACTTATAGAAGTAACACTTTTATAATTGTACATTAAGGTTAAGAAAAACTCAAGGCCACATAATGAAATAGTGTAAAACCTCTTTATGATATCTGCTATCATTTTTGCCATGAAATTTCGTTGTTATAATGGCATTGATATATAATGAAGGAAGATATAGAGGAGTTAGAGAAGGAAAGGATATCTAAGCTGTAAGATGACAAACAGGTTTACTGTTCTGTAAAATGTATTAAGTATTCATCATCTAGTAACAGATGTTCTAATCATAACAAACTTTTAGAAAAAATTGAGGTAACATTTTGTTCTTTGTCCATTGCAGTCCAAGTTTGATAGTTACATGGCATCACCCGACTCACTAGTACTGCCTCAGAGTAGACTTCTTCTCAGTGGACGAGTCAGGTAGGTTATTACATGGCATCACCCGACTCACTGGTACTGCCTCAGAGTAGACTCCTTCTCAGTGGACGAGTCAGGTAGGTTATTACATGTCATCACCCGACTCACTGGTACTGCCTCAGAGTAGACTCCTTCTCAGTGGACGAGTCAGGTAGGTTATTACATGTCATCACCCGACTCACTAGTACTGCCTCAGAGTAGACTCCTTCTCAGTGGACGAGTCAGGTAGGTTATTACATGTCATCACCCGACTCACTAGTACTGCCTCAGAGTAGACTCCTTCTCAGTGGACGAGTCAGGTAGGTTATTACATGTCATCACCCGACTCACTAGTACTGCCTCAGAGTAGACTCCTTCTCAGTGGACGAGTCAGGTAGGTTATTACATGTCATCACCCGACTCACTAGTACTGCCTCAGAGTAGACTCCTTCTCAGTGGACGAGTCAGGTAGGTTATTACATGTCATCACCCGACTCACTAGTACTGCCTCAGAGTAGACTCCTTCTCAGTGGACGAGTCAGGTAGGTTATTACATGTCATCACCCGACTCACTAGTACTGCCTCAGAGTAGACTCCTTCTCAGTGGACGAGTCAGGTAGGTTATTACATGTCATCACCCGACTCACTAGTACTGCCTCAGAGTAGACTCCTTCTCAGTGGACGAGTCAGGTAGGTTATTACATGTCATCACCCGACTCACTAGTACTGCCTCAGAGTAGACTCCTTCTCAGTGGACGAGTCAGGTAGGTTATTACATGTCATCACCCGACTCACTAGTACTGCCTCAGAGTAGACTCCTTCTCAGTGGACGAGTCAGGTAGGTTATTACATGTCATCACCCGACTCACTAGTACTGCCTCAGAGTAGACTCCTTCTCAGTGGACGAGTCAGGTAGGTTATTACATGTCATCACCCGACTCACTAGTACTGCCTCAGAGTAGACTCCTTCTCAGTGGACGAGTCAGGTAGGTTATTACATGTCATCACCCGACTCACTAGTACTGCCTCAGAGTAGACTCCTTCTCAGTGGACGAGTCAGGTAGGTTATTACATGTCATCACCCGACTCACTAGTACTGCCTCAGAGTAGACTCCTTCTCAGTGGACGAGTCAGGTAGGTTATTACATGTCATCACCCGACTCACTAGTACTGCCTCAGAGTAGACTCCTTCTCAGTGGACGAGTCAGGTAGGTTATTACATGTCATCACCCGACTCACTAGTACTGCCTCAGAGTAGACTCCTTCTCAGTGGACGAGTCAGGTAGGTTATTACATGTCATCACCCGACTCACTAGTACTGCCTCAGAGTAGACTCCTTCTCAGTGGACGAGTCAGGTAGGTTATTACATGTCATCACCCGACTCACTAGTACTGCCTCAGAGTAGACTCCTTCTCAGTGGACGAGTCAGGTAGGTTATTACATGTCATCACCCGACTCACTAGTACTGCCTCAGAGTAGACTCCTTCTCAGTGGACGAGTCAGGTAGGTTATTACATGTCATCACCCGACTCACTAGTACTGCCTCAGAGTAGACTCCTTCTCAGTGGACGAGTCAGGTAGGTTATTACATGTCATCACCCGACTCACTAGTACTGCCTCAGAGTAGACTCCTTCTCAGTGGACGAGTCAGGTAGGTTATTACATGTCATCACCCGACTCACTAGTACTGCCTCAGAGTAGACTCCTTCTCAGTGGACGAGTCAGGTAGGTTATTACATGTCATCACCCGACTCACTAGTACTGCCTCAGAGTAGACTCCTTCTCAGTGGACGAGTCAGGTAGGTTATTACATGTCATCACCCGACTCACTAGTACTGCCTCAGAGTAGACTCCTTCTCAGTGGACGAGTCAGGTAGGTTATTACATGTCATCACCCGACTCACTAGTACTGCCTCAGAGTAGACTCCTTCTCAGTGGACGAGTCAGGTAGGTTATTACATGTCATCACCCGACTCACTAGTACTGCCTCAGAGTAGACTCCTTCTCAGTGGACGAGTCAGGTAGGTTATTACATGTCATCACCCGACTCACTAGTACTGCCTCAGAGTAGACTCCTTCTCAGTGGACGAGTCAGGTAGGTTATTACATGTCATCACCCGACTCACTAGTACTGCCTCAGAGTAGACTCCTTCTCAGTGGACGAGTCAGGTAGGTTATTACATGTCATCACCCGACTCACTAGTACTGCCTCAGAGTAGACTCCTTCTCAGTGGACGAGTCAGGTAGGTTATTACATGTCATCACCCGACTCACTAGTACTGCCTCAGAGTAGACTCCTTCTCAGTGGACGAGTCAGGTAGGTTATTACATGTCATCACCCGACTCACTAGTACTGCCTCAGAGTAGACTCCTTCTCAGTGGACGAGTCAGGTAGGTTATTACATGTCATCACCCGACTCACTAGTACTGCCTCAGAGTAGACTCCTTCTCAGTGGACGAGTCAGGTAGGTTATTACATGTCATCACCCGACTCACTAGTACTGCCTCAGAGTAGACTCCTTCTCAGTGGACGAGTCAGGTAGGTTATTACATGTCATCACCCGACTCACTAGTACTGCCTCAGAGTAGACTCCTTCTCAGTGGACGAGTCAGGTAGGTTATTACATGTCATCACCCGACTCACTAGTACTGCCTCAGAGTAGACTCCTTCTCAGTGGACGAGTCAGGTAGGTTATTACATGTCATCACCCGACTCACTAGTACTGCCTCAGAGTAGACTCCTTCTCAGTGGACGAGTCAGGTAGGTTATTACATGTCATCACCCGACTCACTAGTACTGCCTCAGAGTAGACTCCTTCTCAGTGGACGAGTCAGGTAGGTTATTACATGTCATCACCCGACTCACTAGTACTGCCTCAGAGTAGACTCCTTCTCAGTGGACGAGTCAGGTAGGTTATTACATGTCATCACCCGACTCACTAGTACTGCCTCAGAGTAGACTCCTTCTCAGTGGACGAGTCAGGTAGGTTATTACATGTCATCACCCGACTCACTAGTACTGCCTCAGAGTAGACTCCTTCTCAGTGGACGAGTCAGGTAGGTTATTACATGTCATCACCCGACTCACTAGTACTGCCTCAGAGTAGACTCCTTCTCAGTGGACGAGTCAGGTAGGTTATTACATGTCATCATATGTCTCACTGGTACTGCCTCAGAGTAGTATCCTTCTCAGTGGACGAGTCAGGTACGTTATTACATGTCATCATATGACTCACTGGTACTGCCTCAGAGTAGATATCTTAGTGGAGACAAGACTAACATGTTGCTTTTCTGACGACGGTGGCGGCGTCAGCATTAAGTTTTTGCCTTAAAGTTAGTTTCTCTGAAACTATAAGTGCTACACCCACCAAACTTGCAACATAAATGTATCGTTGGTTGTAAATCTCAACTTTAACCCTTGCATCAAATGCTGGATGCGGCCTTCCTTTCATGGTCCATTGTTGTATTTCAGCATCTCCATCAACATTAAGTTTTTGCTTTTAAGTTAGTTTCTCTGCAACTTTTAAGTGCTACACCAACTAAACTTCACATGTGCATTGATGGTCCAAGTGAGGCTCAGGCAAGACATATCAATCTGAATGGCTTGTTATTTTGAGATTTTTTTTATTCACTATTCAAACTCTTAACAAATATACTGCATTATAACAGATGGTACACTAAATTTATGTATTTATTTCATTGACTTTGCATGCATTTATAACTTCAGTAAGCTTATTTTATGAAAAATTATTTCTAACACAATTCGTCATAAATTTCATAGAGAAAAAGCATTGTGCACACAGGAGAAGTTTATTATTGTGTACAGCAAAATATCATATTTATATTATTGTACAATCCAACACTTGAATTAACTGAAATCAACTAAATGGATTATATTGACTGTGCATGTAGGAATCATTTTAATTTTGCATGTGAAATAATATTTTTCGGGCAGTAATTCTGTAGGTTAGAGGTAAATGGTATAACATCTGTCATAGGGTGATGTTGAAATAGCCCATGATAATCGTATAGTATTATTTTAATTAGAAATACCTCTCAACAGCGACAGTATTTTGTTTAGGTTGGTTGATTTTATTTAGCATAATGTTTCACCGAATGAAATCCTTTACCTTACAGAGAAACAGTGAAGAAGAATTCAGCAGACCTGATATGTTCTGCCTACAAACAGATCTACGATACCATATGTGATCCAGCCAATGAGTACAAGGAATCGCCCAGTATAGTGCCACGCACGCCGGACCAAGTGGTTAGATTGTTATCATGATCACACAGACTCTTTGATAGAAATTCTTCCTTTAAAAGGAAGGTATGTTGATAGGGTTCGTGAAGTGAGTATTAAATGAAATATGAATGGTTTGTACATTTTGGTGGGCAATGTTCTGTAAGTACATGTATGTTAATGTTAGAGATAAAATATATCTGTGATATATATATGTACATATATGCATATTTATGAAATTTTACCTATACAGGTATAAACAGTAAGATGGATGGAAGTGTACTAGGGAGACCAAGATAATGTTTTGGTAAAATAAAGATTGTGGGAATTGAAGTGGATCTCTTTCTCTTTTATCGCATTCTATTCTTACCTTCAATGTATTTATCGTGGTTTTACTACATCACAAAGTTTGAAAATCTCATAAGAGAGATGAAACAATGTAGGATAATACTGTTTGACATTGCGATCTTTGAAAGTCACATATATGAAATACGTTTGCCCGCATCATTGAGATACCATGTCATTGAGCCTCTTGTTTGTGTTCAGATAAAGCTGAATAATGTATTATTTCAGCCTGCTTTACAGGGATAGTGTCATACAGTTCATTTTGTTATTTTCTACAGAAAAAGCAACAACAGGCAGGCAACCAAAAAGAGATTAGTTTATTAAGATTGGAATGTTATCATATATCAGGTGTTTTTTTAACCCTGTACATGTCATCCAGTCCTTTGTTTTCTTTTCACATCTGTGAAAAAAATCGGGAATGGCTTTCTATGTTTGACTCAACACTTCAGTAGCCATTCACACGTGCCCTGTTCCCCTCTTAGGCATGCTGCCTGCTCACACGAAGTTGTTTTGTCATAGTTACAAACGTCACGGGGTGTGGCATATGGTGGAATTAATCCCCAGGCCTCGTTGATCTAAAATGAAATGGGTAAAAACAGATGTCGAAATATACTTTCTAGTAGCATGATTCGGTGTACTAATCAGCCTATTTTGATAACAATGACATCCTACCCACTGACCACCCATTTGTAAAAGCAATGACTTTAATGTACTTTGGTTTAAACTTTGTTTTATTCAAATTTTGTTTGACAATACATCGAAATACATGTTTTATAAAACAGAAAAGGAAACAAAAACAAGTGTTGTTTCCTTTTCTGTTTTATAAAACATGTATTTCGATGTATTGTTAAACAAAGTTTGAATAAAACAAAGTTTAAAATGTACTTTAATTCCGACTTATCGCACCCTTTCGTGATAATACCTTCATCTACTTACTAATTAACCTTTTTATACATGGATAAAAATGTCATATGTTGTACGTATTTTACAGATTTGTAGCCCGAGTTTCCTCTGGCCCTGACACCAGACTTAGAGATTTTGACAGATGTCTTGTGTGGGCCCCAACACCAGACATTTATCTGTCAAAATGTGTAATTCTGGTGTTAAGGCCAGATGAAACAAGGGTTAGCCTTGTATCTACGCTTAAACCAACACAGTCCTTCCAAACCAACAGATAGTAAAAGTTTCCTTTGATATGACAACACCACCAATTGACAGAATTTAAAACGAAATTAGACACCAGCAGATGGCATCAAAGTTAATAGTTCTGACCTTTGGTGACCTTGATGACTTGCACGATGTATCACCGTCGTTACAGTCTGTATATGACCTTATACTTATATAATTATATATATAATTACCTAATGTACAAGTGATGAGTTAAACCCGTAACCATCCCAACCATGTTACTATGTTTCTGTGTGATATATATCATATGTTGGCTATTCGGATAATTTTCAGTAGCAAACAAGATGGAATAAAGAATGACTCGTTTCGAGAGAGAAAAACCAAGAAAAAACCGAAAAAAGAAAAAAAACGCTTTAGGCTGACATCTGTAGAGACCGATCAATACTGTAGCCTAGCATACCGTTGTAAACTTTGAACCAAGATCATCCTCCTGCCCTCCTCTCACTGTTAAATAAGCTTGATTTCTTTGGAAAATAACATGTCAAATAATCACACATTATTTTTACGTGTTTACGTGAGTATACATGTATATCTTACATAGCAGCTGCAGTCGTAGTCCCCAAGGAGACCGTTGTATTCGCTTGATGTCAGCGTGTTCAGTCTTCTGCCCACATACAGGAATTTACTAGGTACTCGTCGTCACTGTTCACATATCCTTTATTAAAAATAGGATGTACACAATAACTTTTCAGTATGGCAAGCATTTACATTTATTCAAAGAGCAATGTCGATCATATATTACAAAAATATATATAAAACAAAAGACGCTATCTCTGTCTTTTGTTCTGTTTTTTATATTTAATTCCAACACAAGGACTTCTCAATGTTTTCTTTATGAAATATCTTATATAGCATATGAGATATCTTACATGTATATAGCATATGATATATCTTATCACAGAATTAGATTAGATATCTAAGTCCGTGATCTTATATAGCACAGTGGCGGATCCAGAGACCTATCTGGGGGGGTTTCCAAATTTCCTCGGGGGGTTTCCAGGTGGGGCAAAATTGAGGAAAATGGTGAAAATACTTAAGCATATGAGATATCTTACATAGCATATGATGTATCTTATATAGCATATGATATATCTTATATTCTATATGAGATATCTTATATTCTATATGAGATATCTTATATAGAAATGAAATGAGATGCTATTTAAGATATCTTATATCATATACAAGACATCTCATTTAATTTTCTAAATAAGATTTGTTATACAATATATAAGATATTTCATATCTATAAGATATCTCTATTGTATATAAGATGAATAATATACTATATTATTGGATGAAATACAGGATCGACATTGCTCCTTGAATACATGTTTAGTTGGCTTGCCACATATCAGTCTTTTGAATCCTTTAGATATATATAAATAATGTCATTTCAATCAAGAGAACATTAGCAAAAACAATTGAGTTATAAAATGACTTTAGTAACATTCCAAAATCATGACTATGATAGATTTAAGGTAGCTGCTGAAACCATTGTCCGACAGCTGTATATGCCATCATTCATTAAGATGTTTGTTTAGCAACCTCATAATTGGTCGCAGAACCGCAGACTTGTTTAACGGATACTGTAGCTCTTTGACCGATGATGTAAGTATCAAATGTATAAATAGATTTGACAATCAACTAATTGTTCACGCAACTTCCATAAGTATTTTAAAAATGAAGTCATTATCAAAACACGCGTGTTAGTAGCACAGTACTTGAAAAATTAACCAGTACTACTCTGAAAATTATGTAATTATGTTGGGGTTTTATGGTTTTAACCGTAGTTCGGACTGCTGCGTCTGTTACCATGTATTACAGGTACAATCACTTGTGCGTGTCCCACGTTCAACTTTGCAGCACTCAAATTACATGGTTCTTTGCGTTGAACCATTTTGAGATAAATGTAACAGCAAGTAATAATTACATATCCCGCACTATTCCACATACATGTACATATATACATCAATTATCGGGAACAATTTGTTTTTCACATTGATATACCTGTTATCAGATAGCGAATTCCTGGCAATAAGTTTAGCTCGCACAGAATAGGTCCCTTATAAGTCTTCAGTTTAAGGCGTTTTCTGTGTGTATAACCTTCTGGGACCTAAAACATAAATGAAGGTCAGATAGAAAGGACAACCAGGTGGAAGCACAGGTGTACTGGTTTCCTAAGTTGTTGACATATTTACTTAATACTGTTGTATTGACCGTTAATGTTTACAAAATCGTTATATAGTTCAATCAGTCATTAACACAAATTTTCAAAAATGCGATTTTCAGGAAATCTGAAAATTTATGGGAATTTTGTATTTCCTCTGTTCATACGATTATTTTGAATCCCTGACTTCTTTAAGTTTTGAATTGAAATTTTTTTGAAGATACAAATAATTAAATACCTGCGTTAACTGGGCGTGAAACGAATCGGGTTTTGATCTAAAAGAGGGGTGTTAAAGTCGGCCTTCTGATGGCTATCAACGATAAGTTTCAGTTTTTGCATAAACATTTCTTTGGGTTATGCCGTCATGATATGACATGAAATTAAGGTGGGTTTGGAGACCATTCTTATTATATATTATGTGTCTCAATTTTAAATACACTGTATATATAAATGAATAAAATTGCATTTTTAAAAAAAAAAAAATATTGTAATTTGAGACGTGTTATGAATTGTCAATACATACCTTCAACATGAATTGGACTATTACATTGAATCTCCTGTCATAATTACTGTCAACGAAGTCACTGACGGACCCGACGAGAGCTAAAACGCCAACAAAAACATTGAATATATTCACAATATCTTAACACACTGTACATGCACGAATCGCTCTGTGTTTGAAGGGAAACGAAGTAAGTCTCGTTTTGTGTTTGAAGAAAAAAAAACACCAAGCGAATGTCGAAGTGGCAACGAGGCCATAATGCGAACTCAAAACTGATAAAACAAGGGCGAAATATGAACAAGGAAGATGGAAGGGTACGCATGCTCTGCTGTATCGACGATACCAACATGTAAATCCATATCAAATCCAAGTAATGTCACGTCCTCATATCGAGAACTCGGGTAGTGACAACAAAAACACAGGGCATTCATCATGATATTCGTAGTAAGCTGTTGAATACCGAATCAACAGCGACACCATAGATAGGGAAAGCAGGTATATTGCTGTCAAGAAAGGGAACTTTCATGATCGGAAAGACGATACCGTATCACTTATCCTATAGCGTAGTATTAAACCGACAAATCTGTGGGTCATGTTGTAAGTAAAGATCGAGCTAAGCGGCTGATGTAGAAGAGTCTGCAGTGTCCTTGGTTTCAGAGTTCAGAAAGGTATATGCGATCGATGCTAATGATACTTTCAGCTATAAGATAAACCATGCCACTTTACCGTAAGCTGTGTATTTATATGATTTACTGTGTTTTGACTATGTAGTTATACATATATGCAAATATGGATGTCTTTATGTAAAGAATGTGTGTACAATGTATATATTGGCGGACATGTATGCTGTAAGTCTGTTGTCAAATCTCATAAAAAAACTTGAATAATCAAATGTCTTGTTCCTACTGTTCGTGTGAAATGTTTATGTCTGAGTACATATGTTTAATGTGGTCGGTACATGGATCATCTGTCTGACTGATCCAAAGTTTAATCAGATAAATAACAAGCGCTGCCCATATTCAAGATTGTCATTATATTTTTAGGTTTATTTGGTCTACTTGACGAAAAAATTGTAGAAATTCAAATACAAATTATACAGGATTTTCTGCAAATGAATGCATTTATAAATATGAATTTACTACCAGTATTTGTATAGGAATATAAAAAACTGGTTTGGGATGAAAAGATGTAATTTCGATAATATTTAGGATATATAATTTGGATGAATGAGGATGCAAGAATGACTGATTGGTTGAAAAGAATAGGAAAGTATGGAAGCCGGCCTCCTGGGTGAGGCTACATGTTGTAGGAGAGATGGAACCTGGATACCCCGACCCTGGCATCCACCCAAAAAGATCCTCGGGAAATAAAATTCAATTGAAATAAAACAAAATATTTTGCTTTAAACGTTACAAAACATGGTTAAAATGGCTTCACGTCATTGCCAAGTGAACATGTTTGGTTTAGATTAAACTACAACTTACCAAAGCTACTCAGATGGCAATAATCTGTTTGTGGGTGAGATATTGGACAAAAACACGCATGAACTTTGTCAACATCCAGTAAAAATATCCTAAGTACAAACATATGTATGACCCTGTACATTTCCATCACAAGTGCTGAAACAGAAAAAGACCATCTTCATTTTAAACTATAAGTTTTTAGATGTCTTTGTTACAAATATATTTAAATATGTAAGTTTCAACAGTTCAAGCATTTCTTTGTTTTTGACTATTTGTAAGTGTTTTTAAATGTATGTACAATGTACCAGAAATATTAAAGCCATTATTGCTGGGATACTGCAAGGGAAATGAAAGTTATCATTTTGTTTTTACAAAATTGGCTCGCTAACATGAAATAAGGAAACAAAATACTATATATTGTAATGTTAACTCCCCGTTAAAACGTTTAACTTTCGTCCTCTGGTCTTTTAAAACAAATTCGTGCAATGATGAATTCGTCAACGTTTCCTTTCTGATTCTGCTACTGCTTGATATGTAGTGTGTTCCACACTGTGTTGACTGAGCCTTCTCCATAAAGGACTAAATTGAAGAACACGTTCTATTTTACTGAGTTGAACAATACGTTACGTGTATAACATCTATGTATATATTTGTCATATTGTTCACATACGGACTATTTTTGTTAAACAATATTATAACCATTATCAACAAACCAATTTACTTACACAATACTTACTCAACTCACTTCGCGACGGGCTGCTGTTTCAGACAAACACAAAAATATGATACCAACTGCAGAATATTAACGGAATATTATAAGCTTACACTGTTGATTCATTTCATGCATTCGTTGTCATATCTGAGTCAAAAAAAAATATGTTCAGAATGTCATAAACGTGCACTTCACAAGGAATACCAGATATCTGTCATTATCGTTACTCAATTACAGAAACAATTTGGAGTTAATACGTATTAAATGTGTATTTAATTCTAATAGCCAGTATAACCAGTAGGGATTGCAACATGTCCGTCTGCTCGTTTCGTCTCACTGACGTTTCCGTCATTTATTCTGGAAAAAAATATGCACTAGTGTGAAGGTCTAAATTTCTGTTTAGCTAAACTTCCAGGTTAGATAGCGGCGTACTCATCTACGATGTTTACCTCAAAGGAGAAGATTACAGCAACAGTGCATGTCGGAACAAAGTGTTGTGTAATGACATTGTAGGTCTATACTATTATAATGAGACAATGAGTGTAAATAGGGGTCATTTATTACGTCATGACTAGACAGTATGATGACTAATCAATGTGTCGTGATAGGAGACATGCATTGTTTAATTACTATACAATGTGTTGTGGTGGGTGATATACATTGTATCGTAACTAGACAATGTGTTGTGGTGGGTGATATACATTGTATCGTAACTAGGCAATGTGCTGTGGTGGGGAATATACATTGTATCGTAACTAGACAATGTGTTGTGTTGGGTGATATACATTGTATCGTAACTAAACAATGTGTTGTGGTGGGTGATATACATTGTATCCTAACTTGACAATGTGTTGTGGTGGGTGATATACAGTGTATCGTAACTAGACAATGTGTTGTGCTGGGTGATATACATTGTATCGTAACTAGATGATGTGTTGTGGTGGGTGATATACATTTTATCCTAACTTGACAATGTGTTGTGGTGGGTGATATTCATTGTATCGTAACTAAACAATGTGTTGTGTTGGGTGATATACATTGTATCGTAACTAAATAATGTGTTGTGGTGGGTGATATACAGTGTATCGTAACTAGATAATGTGTTGTGGCGGGGGATATACATTGTATCGTAACTAGACAATGTGTTGTGTTGGGGGATATACATTGTATCGTAACTAGATAATGTGTTGTGGTGGGTGATATACATTTTATCCTAACTTGACAATGTGTTGTGGTGGGTGATATGCATTGTATCGTAACTAGATAATGTGTTGTGGCGGGGGATATACATTGTATCGTAACTAGATGATGTGTTGTGGTGGGGGATATACATTGTATCCTAACTTGACAATGTGTTGTGGTGGGTGATATTCATTGTATCGTAACTAAACAATGTGTTGTGTTGGGTGATATACATTGTATCGTAACTAGTCAATGTGTTGTGGTGGGTGATATACAGTGTATCGTAACTAGACAATGTGTTGTGTTGGGGGATATACATTGTATCGTAACTAGATGATGTGTTGTGGTGGGTGATATACATTGTATCGTAACTAAATAATGTGTTGTGGTGGGTGATATACATTGTATCGTAACTAGCCAATGTGTTGGGTTGGGTGATATACATTGTATCGTAACTAGGCAATGTGTTGTGGTGGGTGATATACAGTGTATCGTAACTAGACAATGTGTTGTGCTGGGTGATATACATTGTATCGTAACTAAATAATGTGTTGTGGTGGGTGATATACAGTGTATCGTAACTAGATAATGTGTTGTGGTGGGTGGGATAAATTGTATCGTAACTAGACAATGTGTTGTGCTGGGTGATATACATTGTATCGTAACTAGACAATGTGCTGTGGTGGGGAATATACATTGTATCGTAACTAGACAATGTGCTGTGGTGGGGAATATACATTGTATCGTAACTAGACAATGCGCTGTGGTATGGGGCATGTCTTGCATCATGAGTAGACAATGTATCATAGTAGGAATACGTATGTATCGTGACTAGACAATGTCTCATAGTAGATATACGTATGTATGGTGACTAGACATTGTATCATAGTAGATATACGTATTGTATCGTGACTAGACAATCTATCATAGTAGATATACGTATATATCGTGACTAGACAATGTGTCATAGTAGATATACGTATTGTGTCGTGACTAGAAACTGTGTCATAGTAGATAAATGTATGTATCGTGACTAGACAATGTATCATAGTAGATATACGTATATATCGTGACTAGACAATGT